ACAACGTAAAGAAATCATACAAATAGGGGATTATGAAATGAAGAGAAGAGGAAAAATTAGGATGTGCAAATATTAAAAATATTAAAATATTTAATAATGGCCAATTTCCTTATTTGCACCTTATATATTTTTTCTTTTCGTGAGCAATACCCTAAATTAATTTTTGTTTTTTTCGACACCTTTTATAATTTAAAATCTGTAAAAAAAATCCTTAAATTACCAATAGAGTGATAATACAAATAAAAGGTTTAACAATAAATTTAAAGTGTAAATAAAGGACTTGACTATTAATTTTTGAGTTTTTCACATATTTTAAATAGTGAACAAAGATTAATTTAAGATGTTTACTACAAAAAAAAAATGTAATGTGTAAATAGGGTTTTTGGCTTTTAATAATAATTGTATAATGGATTTAATAAAATTATAACTCAAATAGATTATGATGAGATATTTTAATTTTTTTAATATTAAAATATCATAATTTTTTTATATGAAATAATCTCTCATATAATAACTTTTATTTTATAATATAATATAATTTAAATTATAAAATAAGTTTTTTTTTTTTAAAGAAAAGGGACAGTAAAGGTAGTCAGATCAGTTGTCATGTAACGGTTGGGGATGTCCAATAATGATTAGGCTTTTGGGCAATTGGGCCCACATCTAATTGACCGTTAGCTATTTTACATGGCATATTATCCCGCCCAATTTTATAACTGGGACCCACGTTTTGTGTTCCACGTGCAGAAAAATATTAATAAAAATAGCTCTAATAAGAAATTTTTAATTAATTTTCAAATATTTGATCCGATTTTTAAATTTTATCCATTTTCATTGTACTATTACTTAATATATTAGTTATTTAAAACATAAAAATTTAGGTTAAACTTTCATTTTGGTCCCTCAACTATTATATGGACCTCTGACTTAGTCCTTTAACTAAAAAAATCTTTGATTTAGTCCTTATTGTTTACCATTTTTACCCCAATTTAGTCTCCCTGTTAAAAATCCAATGACGTATCCTATTAATTAATTGAAGCATGAGGACGTGTCAAAATAACGTGCCACATCAGATGCATGCATGAAAAAAGTGATGACATGGAAAAAAATAGTATGTCAAAAAAAACTTTAAAAATTCTTTTTTTTTTTTTTTTCTTCTCCCTCCCTTTCTTTTCCCCTTCGAACCCAACGCTTATTGGGTTCTTTTGAACCCA